CATCATCAATTGATCCAGGACGCCTACATTGTAAATTTTGTATCAGAAACATTCAAATGTATCGGATCATCATCAAATATCTTTATCAACGGGATTGATTGATCCGGTTACTAAATTTATTATTCCTATTTGGTCATGTATGATGTTCCAATTGGTCAATTTTCGTTGTTGTTGTTGTTGTCGTTTTTCAATAACCGACAATTGAAAACATTCAATATAAACAATTATTCGGTAATAGCAGAGAGGCAAAATGATTGATATCATTGATATAAAAAAAACTTGGTATTATTTCGTTACTTCGTTGTTGTTGTTGTTGTTGTTGTTAAAATGGTCATTTCCAAGATTCAATATTGACCAAATTGATATGTACCATATTCTCCTAATAACGATTATGATTAATCGACCAAGACAGAAAACAAGCTAAAAATTGTCATTCTCAATATCGGATATATCGATATTTCGATTGAAAATATGTATAAATGTTTTGCATGGAGTAAATTCATACTGACCATACATAGAAATCGAAAGAAAGTGACAGGAAAATTAATCATATCATTTACTGTCGTCGGTTGTGGAGAAAGAAAGGAAAAAATATTCACATATTTGCCTATGACATAACTTTTGATAAATCTTTTCGTTCGTTTTTGCTAGCTGGACCGATATTACCTAACCTTATTTATTTTTTCTTTGATGAAAACATCGACATTGAATCCTTTTTTTCTTTTCCTTTTGAAGTGATGAAAAATCTTTTGCCTAAATCTTTTCTTGTTTTTTCTTCAAAAAAAAAAAATTCTTAAAGAATTTGGGCAAAGTTACTTGTGAAACATAATTCACTTGTCAACAGCCTAAAATAAAGCCAAGGAAATGAATCAAAATCAAAATGAAAATGAAAAGCAAAAATGAAAAAATGATTAAATAACACAAGAATTCCAATACACAAATTCTCTCATATAAGCAAATGACAAATTATCTCTTATTTGGGTCCAGTATATCCAAGAGTGTTAAGCTTGTTTGAAATCCTACTACGACCAAAACAAGGTTTCAAATAACAATTTTGCTAAAAGAACAAAATAATAAGAAGAAAATAAATGATAATAATTTATTAATTATGGATTAAATATGATCAATCGCTACATTGAAATATATAGTTTTTCTTCATTTGCTTTGTATTTATTTATCATTTAGTCAGTTTGCTAAGCACACACACACACACACACACAAACATTGAATGAAACTGGATCAAAATAAATTAATTTATCGTATTTATATTTCAATGAAACAAAAAGAAAGAGAAAGAATATTCCTGAAAAAGCCGAGAATATTCGTTAGCAGTTTTTTTTTCTTTCGCTGTGCTAAATCTCTTATTTTTTTTATTGAATTCTTAATGTCCGGTGTACATTGTCATCGATGTCTTTTTTTCTGTCTGTCTGTCTGTATGGATGTATGGATGCTGTATACAATAATCTATCCTGTATCATCATCGTTATATTGATTCGAAACAAAAAAAAAATCGATTGTTTTCGATCGTTTTCGATCGATCGATCGAAATCGATCCACTCAACTACGATGTCTACAAATACTTTGTCATTCTTGTCTGACAATTTTTCTTGTTTTGTTTTGTTTTTCTGTTTTTGGGATAATGAATTATCTTTGTTTGTCTTCTCATTTGACGATCAATTCTTACAACAACAACAAAAAACGAATGACAAGAACCATTTCTTTCATTATTGAACCAAAGTAAAGAAGAAGAGAAAAAACAATGGATAAACCTAATCGTTAATTCTCTCTCTATTTTTTTCGATTGTGACAGTTTCAATTTCAATTTTCTGAATGATGATACTAATAGAAATTAAGAAAAAAAAACACTATCCATCTAAATCAACGACTAAATGAAGAAACAAACAAACAAACATCTCTATTCATCATTTGCCTACGCATCGAATGGATAGGTAAAAATTAAGTTGATCCAAATTGAAAATGATTATTGGATTGATGCTGGCAGATTAAGAAACTTTCGCTGGAATGAAAAATTTCCGGAAAACTTTCCATTTTTTTTTTTTTTTTGTTGGGGGTCATCATAGTTGACCAAAAACAAAA